ATATCTTGTTTTTGGGAAACATTAATATTTGAAAATTGAGCTGATCCAACTGGCTGTCAGAATTGTAATATTCATTTAGTAAAGCTAGAAACTCTTTCTGTCTCATACTTGAATATCTGTACACATTTTCACAAGATGATCATTGAATAAGACAATGATTGCCATAATAATGTAACCTTTTCTTTAATGTTTTGTTACTCTTTGAAGAATAACTGAAATATTTATTTCTAATTGCTTATTTTAGAAACAGTGAATTTTTAAAGTTACTGATGTATGTACACTTTGATTAACTTTTATTTTGATAAATACCAGTGAAAGCTATTGTTTAAGCCTTTTCTGGCAAATAACTGTTGTTTAAAAATCATCTCATTGTACTTATTGATTTTATAGTATTTTTCTCAGGTGATACACATTTAGACTAGAGATTCTTAACCTTAAGTCTATATTAACAGGAGTTCCTAGAAGATTTCATGGCATTTGTCCAGTGATTGAAATAGGAGAGTAAAAAAATGAATCTTCTGAAACTATATATGAAATTGTATGTGCAGTTTCATATTTGTGTGCACCCATGCATATGTGCTGTTTAGGAGAGCATTTATAGCTAATCTCAAGGAATTGGTAGTCTACAAAGAGTAAGCAGGCTTTAGGGTTTCGTAAAAATTTTATAAAAAATTATCTTAACCGAGATGTATGAAAGAACTTTGTCACAATAATCATATTGCCAAATTAAATTTGATATTTCACAGTTTTACAGAATAGGCCTACAAATAGTGAATTCCCTTTAAATATAAAACTTTGTGATATGATATATTTTATCCTTTTATAGAATTTAAGAAATGAGTAAATGATACAGCTTTTTAAAAACTTTTAAAAGTTTGTCTCACATTTTCTTGATGATTTTTGTAAAACAGCCCATCTAAGTGAAGAACATGATCATGTAAAAACTGGAGAGTAGTAAAGCACTATTTCTGTTACATGTAGTTCATTTTATGCTGCACTGTGCAATACCAAATTAATGAACTTGCATTAATAAGAATCCAGTTAATGACAGTTCAAATCTTCTAAACTTTTTCTATTTTTTAAACTTTATTTTACTAGAAAGGAGATGCCCACAGATTTTATAAAGATAGTTCAAAAACATAAAATATTGACTACCATCACTGTGATAAGCTGCTTGGAAAAAATCTGTGATTGGGTTTTAATAGTTATTTGAATGTAAGTTCAATTTTGAATCATGACATAAGGCAATGGATATTTGGATGGATGGTACTGTATGAGCTTGGAGTGTAGGCATTTATGTTAATCTTCATGCCTCAGTTTCTTTCATTATAAAATACAAGTTACAAATTGGCTTGACAGGAGGATTAATAAAGTTTATGCATGCCCGACACAAACTATTCAAGAAATATTAGCTATTATTCTTACCAATTAGTCTATTAGATTGAATTTTAAATATAATGTTTTTACTACCATGTGTGAATTTAATTTCATAGGATTGAGAAGTGCCACAACAATGTGTTTCTTGAGGCCAAAGATGAAATGTCATTTGAATAATAAAAGAAACATACATGTCTGGTTGAGTTGCTTTTAATTTTTTTGCAGGAATAGGGATTGAACCCTTGCTCTACCACTGTTGGAGATTCCCCTGCTCCCTCCCTTTTTGAGCCACTACTTCACTAAGTTGCCCAGGCTAGTCTTGAACCTGTCATCCTCTGTGTCAACCTCCCTCATCCTTGGGATCACAAGCATGGTCAATGTACCACAATGGCTCAGTCTTTCTTCTTTTTTTCAAATAAGTTAATCACATTTCTAATCATCACGTTATTTAAATTTAAATTTAAATGTTAAAGTTAACTCTGTGTTTCTCTCAAAGTGTTCATAACAAAATGCTTTCTTTAGAATGAATTAAAAAAGATGTATTTTTAAAAACATATTTAAAAGAGGATAGATATGTTAGGTGCACCCCCTTTTGTTTTCTCTTGGTTGCAAAGTTGACAAAGGTCCCAAGATCTCAGTAAAGCTTGTTGAAGAATAACAAAGGAAAATGATCAACTTCACTCTGAAAGTTTAGAATTATCTTTCATCAGTAGATTTGAGAAGTCAAACATCACAGTTCTGTGAGCTTGTCTGCAAAATCCTGAAGTTTATCTTTACTGTTTGTGAGACTTGATTAAATGTATGTGGCTGGGCTGGACCGCTTGTGCCTTTGTTAGTGAACTCTGGATTTCACCTGCCAGCAAAGTGAAGTGAACACACACAGTCATCACTTCATGTATGACAAATGCAATCCCAGGAAGAAATTGAAAACGAGAGGGCATCTTTTGGTAAAGACTGTGCCAGTCCTCCTTAACAAGTTATTCACCGCTCAAATGAACAATGCAGCCCCACACTGGAACAGCTGTCAACTACAGAAAACTGTTAAAGGGATTAACAGTGCCACAAGCTAAAATGTAATCAGATAGGTGAAATCATGATAAGATAGATATTCTAGCATAAAACAGCACCAATTATTTTTATCTTGTGATGGCATCTGAGTTAAAATACTTCTGAACTATGTTAAACTGTTTAAAATATTTCCTTCTTCTTTGCAAGTTATGTAAAATGAGAGATATGCAGAATGGAATATCTTATTTGGAAAAATTTTTGATGGCTTAATATAATTGTTTGCATACAGATTTTGGTATGCTGTAAAAGAGTGTGTAATTTTCAGGTGTAAAAATTAAAATAAGCTTTTAAACCTTTGTTTTAAAGTTTGTCATCACTGAATGTGAAAACAGAAAACAGAGAAATGTTCAAAGTGATACAAAGTGTTTCTGCTTTGAGCCGTGGAAAGAAACAAGAAGAAAGATTTTCTGTGGGAGGGCGGGGGATTCAGCTCAGTTGTACTGTGCCTGCCTGGAAAGCCCAAGGTCCTGAGTTTCATCCCTGTTACCA